GGGGGAGGAACCTACCGGGACACGATACCGCGCGAGGAAAGAATCAGGGTCTTCTGCTTGTTGACCATCTTGCGGCGGAGGATGGCCGCGCGCATGGCAACATCAATCTCAGGGAGGTCAGCCTGGGCGATGGGAGCCTCAGCGGCGGGGGCCGCCGCGACGGGCGCCGGGGCGGCGCGCTTGTTCTGCTTGGCCATGACTGCTCTTGAGGGGAAGAAAAAGGGAAGCTTGGGGGGAGGGGGCGGGAGAGCGAGGCGGAAAAAAGAGGCAAAGTAGGGTGGGGCAGAAGAGAAGGGGAGCCGGGTCTCTGGGAGAGGGGTAGGCCAGGCCGGGGGATCTCCAATATGGTTGCTGGAAAAGGGTCCCCGCGACGACGCAGGCCTGGCAGACTTCGACCGGCCTTCGTTCGCCTCCCGACAATCGACCAGATCGGCAGGGGCGAGACAAGGCGAGGAAGACCGAGAAAGCCTGAGAGAGGGGCCTCGTCTGCCTGCCGCTCCTCCCCCCCCCCCCCCCCCCCCCCGGCGACGGGAGGGTGCGGTGCAACGCGGGCCATGCACGAAAAAGAAAAGGCAGCGTGTGTGCGCGTGGGGGTGGGAGGAACGGAGCCACGATGCCACACACGTGATCATCGGCGACCAGCTCAAGAGCCTGGGGAGTGCCGGCTCGGGGCCCGGCCGCGGGGCCGGGAAGACCAAATCCCTCTTTCCCTCCGCCGGTGTTTCGCCTCCTTTTGCGATCTCGTTGTTCGCCTGTCCCGCCTCCGTCCAGGCCGTGGTTTCTTTTTTTTCCTGGCCTGTCTCCTGCAATGCCGACATTCTTCATTCGCAATAGCTTCAACAAACTTTTCTTCCCCGTCACCAAGCCGCTGGAAGTGCGGTCACTCTACCGTGCTCTTGCTCGGGAGGCGCGCCGGGTGGAGCGGCGGCCATTTGAGTATCAGCTCTTCCGCGAGGTACCTCCGCCACCATCCCTCTCTCTTTCTCTTGCCACTGCTGCTACTGCTGCTGCTACTACTATTGCACTGCCATCGGCTCGCTTGCCTCCATGAACCCCCGCTTCCCCTGACCCATTCTCCATCCCTCCTCAGGGCCTCCGCGCGTACTTCAAGGTCAATTCGCGCAATGTCGATGTCAAGCGCAACCATATGGCCATGATAGCCGGCTACAATGTCCTGGAGGGCCTCAAGCGCGGCGAGATGCCCGTCCCGGCCAAGACGTTCATGTACTACAACATCTGATGGGCCCCCGCATGTCCCCGCTCCCTCCCCCAAACACAAAGGTGACTGCATTTCCAATGGAAAACCCAAACCGTGCATCGGCCAACTCATGCTGGAAACGTGTGTCTGGACGGCAAACACCTTTTCTTCGCGTGCTCGGGGTAACATCGCCATGGGTCGGCAGGGGAGGGGGGGTGGGGGGGAACAGCCCTGATAATAGATCGCGGAGCGGGGGGGAAACATGAGGCACATGCCCACCTCTTGCTTCAGATCTCCTTCTTCTTTTTTTTCGGCAACACAACACACGTGCACAAAAGGGAGGCACAAATGGCCTTGACTTTCTCAAAATATGTATATAGTGTATAAGGAACAGGGGGGGGGGGGGGGAATAAGGAGGGAGGGGATATAGAAGGGGGCACTCGCCCGTGTGGAAGGGGGGGGGGGGGGGGACCGGGGGAGAGGGTCCGACAGGACAGCACGCAGGCATGCATTTGCACACAGACCTTTGCTCCTTCCGCCCCTGTGGTCCCCCCACATACGCACATGCGCGCGCGCGTGCGCGAACACACTTGAACACGGTACACCACATCTCTACTTGGTCTTGGTGCGCTTTGAGGACTCCTCGGCCGAAGTGGCCGCGGCGGCCTTCTTGCCGGCGTTGGCCTGGACAACGATCTTGTTGGCCAGGATGGCCTTCTTCCGGTCGCGGAGCTGATCGGCCTCGGCCTCGCGGCGGGCGCGAGTACGCTGGATAACACGCAGAAGGTTGCGCGGGCGCTTGTCCATGACGCTCATGCTGAGCTGGCGAAGCTCCTCCGCCTCGATGTCGGCCTGAGTACGCTTGCGGGCGGCCTGGCGGCGCGCCTCGTCGGCAATCGCGCTGACGATGGACTGGGCGGACTTGGCCGACTCGCGGATCTTCTTCGACCGCTTGGCCGCCAGCCGGGCCTTGCGCTCCTCCTCCTGGACAACGAAGTCCGAGAAGGAAACACCAGCCGACTCGGCCGCCAGCTCGCGCTGATGGCGCGACTCCTCGGAATCATCCTCGCTCTCCAGACCGTCGTCCTCGGCCTCCTCGGCATCGGACTCGGCCTCATCCTCCTCGGCCTCATCCTCCTCGGCCTCGGCTGCCGAGCGGTCCAGGTCGCGCTTGACGTTGCGCCGGCGCTCGGAAGCCTCCTCCAGCGCCTCGGCCGCCAGCTCATCCTCACGGAAGGCCTTGACCGCATCCTCCAGCTGCTGATGCTCGGCCACCGGGTCGTAGCCACCAGGCAGGACCTCGTGGAAGGGCGACAGGTGAGCCGGCAGCGACTCGCCCGGGGCATAGGGCTTGGTCTCCAGCAGGCGAGCCGCATTGATGGAGTCGAACACCCACTGAGGCTGGATGTACTCGCGGTCGAGGTACACGTGGCCCTGGGTCGGGCGATCCACGATGTGGTGGGTGATGGACTGTGTGCATGTGTGTGTGTGTCCGTGCGTGCATGTATCAGAAAAGAGCCAGATGGGAGAGAGGGCGCGGCATGTGGGGGGTGAGTAGGGCGAGCACTTCGCAGGCGAGCAGCCTAAATAGGGAGAGAGAAAGAAAGAGGGAAAAAAAGAGGAGGGAAAACCACGCACATCAGAGTCCTCGGAGATGGCACCGAAAGTGGCATCCGACCAGCCGACCGTACCACCGCAGGCGCGGATGACAAACTCCAGCGCCTCGCGCGGGACCTCGCGGCTCAGGAAGAAAACGCACTTGGCGAACAGCTGCGAGTAGGAAGAAGCGTTGGAGTCGGTGAACATCTTGTCGCCATGGTTGTCCTCGGCGGCGGCCTCATTCTCGGGGAAGACATCCAGCAGCTCGCTGTCGATGACGGCGTCGCCCTCGGCGCCGGGGGCGGCGCCGGTCGCAGAGTCCACCGGGGCATCCTCGACGGGCATCGCCTCGACAACCGGGGCGTCAGTCAGGCCAGCCAGCACCTCGGACAGGGACTTGGCCCGCTCGGTGGCGGTGGCCAGATCGGCCTCAGTCAGGGCGGCCGACGCGGCGTCGGTCTGCTGGAGCTTGGTGAAGGCGGCATGCTCCTCGCGGGTCTGCAGCATGTAGGAGCTCAGACCGGCGGCCAGGTTGTCACGCTCGACATCCACCACCGGCGGGTAGTGCAGGCCCTCATCGTGGAAGAGCTTGAAGTTGATGAAGCCCAGCATGGTGACATGCAGCTCGAGGAAGGTCCTCATGACGCGGAAGTCAATCTGCGACGGGGGGTTCTGGGTGAACTGGTAGGGCACGACCCAGGTGACCGGCTGGCCGTAGAGCTCGGCCTGGTAGTAAATACCTGGGAGGGAAAGTAGAGCAGGGAGGCGGGGTGAGTACCGATGGCGGAAAGGCCTTCCCCGAATGGGCAGGCAGGGGGAGAGACGCCAGGGACATTGGTGTGTGTGTGTGTGTGTGCGCGCGTGTGTGGAGGAGGGAGAGGCGGTAACGCCATCGACCAGGGCATCAAGAGCAGTGGCAGCGGCGGCACAAGAAAAACATACCCTTGATCGAGAGGAAGGTCTTGCGGAGGGCATTGGTGCGAATGACAAAGTGCATGAACTCCGAGGCAAGACGAGCGCACTCGGAGGTCAGCTGAGAGCTGGCCTTGTCGGAGGGCATGTTGGCAAAGAGGAACACCATGCACAGGGCGTCATCGATGTCGCGCAGGGCATCCACGAAAGAGGGATAGCGCTCCTTGATGATGTGGTCCAGCTCGAAGACCGGGCGGTTCTCCTCGAGGTTGGTGGCCACGGCATCCTGGCTCTTGGCCATGGCGCGCGACAGGCGCCGCGCGAAGATCTTGTACTCGCGGAACTTGTTGATGAGCGGCTCATGAGCCAGGAACTGGATGTCCTTCACCCAGTAGAAGGTCTTGAAGTCACGCTTGTTCTTGGTGAGCTTGTTCCGGTTCTCCGGCTCACGGGGGTAAATGCCCTTGAGAATGCACAGGCGACTGGACAGGAGGTAAGTGGCGGGGTCCATGGAGAGAGAGAGAGAGAGGAAGGAAGGGCAGGTCGAGCGAAGGAGCGGGAGGGGGCGACGCACCGGAAGTCCGCGAGGCTCACCTGGAGCTTCTTGATGGCCCGGCTCCGAGAGATGTACTTCGAGGCCGTACCAAGCACACCCTGGGATGAAGGGCGAGCAGGAACCAGGGCAGGAGGAGAACCGGGGTGCAGGAGGGAGGGGGGGAGGGAGGGAGGGAGGGAGGGAGGATAGATGGTAAGCAAATGCAGGGCATCGGAAGAGGAGCCGGCGTTGGACGTAAGCGACGCGATACCTTCTTCTGGCGCCGCATGGTGGAAAGTACGGGCGGCGGGATGGAAACCTATCCGGCTGCATGGGGGAAGGGAACGAGAAGAGGACAATCCAGGGGCAGTGAGAAGAGGAGGATGCAGATGTCAGTGGCAGGGTGCATCGTCGTAGATTCAAGCCGGGGAGGGCGAAACCGGCGCGCGGGCTTCGCGTGTTGAAGGAAGGAAAAGATGACAAACGAGCGGAAGGGCGGGGGGGGAGGGGGGGATGGCGGGCGCGCACAGTGTGGAGAAAAAACGGGTGGAGAGGGTCGAGGGCGGGGGATGCAGCGGATCAGGCGGCGAAGGAGGAGGGGGGAGGAGAAGGCAGAGATAAGCAGGTGGGAGGGATTCGGGAGGTGTCTGGGCGCCCGCGGGGGGGACGCGGGACAACCGGTGAAGTAAGTTTTATTCCCTTCCCGCGTGAGGCAGGCACGGGGAGGGGCAGGCGCGCAGCCTCGCCGGGAGGCCCGGCAAGCGGATTGGGAATCCACAACGTCGCCGGGGCGTGTGGACCCCGGACCTGGCCCCGCGTGTTACGCGCACGCGTTGTACGGAAAATGGGACCCCACGTAACCCGTCCTCCGTTGTTCCCCCCCCCCCACACACACACACACACACACGCACACGCCTCGCCCGGAGCAGGGCGATCCACGCAAACCGCGAGGTGGATGCCATCGGAGCAGGGGCGCCGGACGGCGACGGACAGAGGCGGACAGGGGGGGGGGGTCGGGTCTGGATACCCCCACCTGGCCCGGAGACGAAACTGTCTGCCACCAGAGGTCGCCGCCAGCGACAAGCGCGCACGCGGGCTTCTCCCCCTCCCCCCCCCCCCCCCCATCCAGCCAGACCCCGGGCCATCTGCTTGCTGGGAGGGTATGATCCCGCGAGAAAGGGCAGAACGGGCTGGAGATGAAAGACCTGGCCAAAGTCGGTGCCGGAACACTTTCTCACATGCGCCCTCCTCTCCATTTGTGTGGCTGCGGTTGGGAGCAAGCGGCCGAGAGCCCAAGGTGCTCTGGGGAACGCGCGGGTGCCCACCTGGATCGGAACCATCCTCGTGGCGGATCAGTGGGCGTGATGTCGGAATGCTGTTTGTTCGATTAAGGACGTTCTGGTGGGGCGTTCTGTTTGTCGCGTGGGCGTCAGGCTTCCCAGTGGCCGGAGCCGCGCGCCCGCACTCCCGGCCCTCGGGCCCCCCCGGTGGTGCCTCTCGAGCGCACACAAGCGTCCGCATGGGGCCTGCCGACGTGGACATGCCCGCCCGCACGTACGCACGCACGCACGCACACACCTGTACAGAGACGCAAAAAGATACCAGCCTTTTCAGAGAAAAGGAAGTCCCAGAGGAGGCCATGTCGCCGTCTGCGCAATCCCCCCACCCGGGGGTCGGCGTGGAGGGCAGCTCCACCTTTCCTGGCATTCGGAAGGTGAGGCAGCCCCTGAGAGGGAGGCTAGACCAAGTGTCGCCGAGAGTGGACAGTCTCGTTGCGGGGGCCAAGCTTCCACACCTCTTGCCCCCTCCCCC